AAATGAGTAAATTCAGAAAGAATTATCAGACATCTGAATGTCTTTATGGGGAAATCGTGGTGAGCCCTGTTAACCTCTGGCTTTATTTCATATTTCAAGCCCCAGGAAGACGGAATGGGAGGCAAACCTACAGTCGCTACCAAACTCTTGAACTGGAGAAGGAGTTTCTGTTCAACCCTTACCTGACCCGTAAGAGAAGGATCGAGGTGTCTCACGCCCTGAGCCTCACCGAGCGACAGGTGAAAATTTGGTTTCAGAACAGAAGGATGAAGTGGAAAAAAGAGAACAACAAAGACAAGTTTCCGGGTCAAAGAGGAGAGGCCGAAGCCGAGGCCGAAGAAGAGGGGAACGAGGACGGTGAAGGGGAAGAGGCAGAAGAGAAAGAAGCGGAAGAGAAAGAAGAGACCAAGGAGTGATTTTATGGTCCTTTTATGGTTATATGGGTGAAAAAGAGGAAATAAAGGAGAGGTCCCATAAACAGACGAAGAGTCACAAGGAGGCAGAGAGCGTCAACTTTATGACCACCCTTCTATTTTGTCAAGAGGGATCAGGAATCCCACCAATATTGCTGTCATAAATAGACAAAATTCTCCATTCTTTCGTTTATCCTAACATGATGCGCATTACCATTTGGATTTTTCTGTAGAAGCTACAAACGCTTGTAGCGTTTTTTTCTCCATAGAACTCTGGCCATTGTTTTAAAAAATAAGGGAGGGTAAATTAAAACGCATGTTGGATGGAAAATGGCTTAGCTATTTTTACAAATTTGCTTTTAATAATAATTGTATCAAAAACGTAGCCAAATAAGATCAAAACATGACCAACGCCGACCTGTGTTGTAAATAGATTATAGCCTACATTAAAAAAAAAGACATCACTTCAAAGTAGCCTTTCTGAAATTGTAAAAAAAAATGTAGGCCTATAACTTAGTAGTACGTGTTAAAACATCATCGCAACAGTTGCATTGGCTAGCAGCCTCTGTATAAACCACACGTTTTATTATTATAATTGTTACTGTTACTGTTTTACTCGTTTTCATGTGACAGCCATTAGCTCCTCAGACATCTTTCTCTAGGATTACCAGGGAAATGCAATCGTTTGGAATCCTTTGATGCTACCTAAACCTGGGGAAATTGCAATAGAGATTTCTGAATATAGAGATTTCATATGGTTTTAATTTTAAAGTGTTCTATATCGACCTTATATTATTAAGTTATGTATGTAGCATTTACCCAACAAACAGTATACACTTGTTGAAGACAATTTGCGAGTCTTGGGAAGACACTTAGCTCAAAGCCAAGTAAACACTTTTGAGATTGTACCACAGCACTACCTAAAAACTCAGAGCTTTGCCTTTGCAGAATTTATATTCCACATTTATGGCATCGCTCTGATTTGATCGCAAGCTATTTCCCCAACAACTAAAACTGCCTATAACGCACATGTACTGTGTATGATAACAACAGCTACAATTACAACGATTTTAAAGTAAGGGAATTTTTATTTTAATGTGCTGGTGATATAGCGTAGTTGTTTTGCACTGAATATAATCTTTATGTACGTCTTGTTATATATTGATGTTAACAATATGCTCGTTTTCTGGTGTTTCTCCTGTGAAAGACGGAATTGTGTGTCCCCGCCATTGTTGATGTAAAATCACGAATAAACAAGATGGCTCACTATCATTTCTGGTTTTATTAAGACTGCGCACTCTGTTGGTAGAACAAACATCATCACCACCCTTTCTCCGTGTACATAAAACAAATGCAATGCAGACATAGGTGAAGTGAAAATATGCAGGGTAGTATTTTCTTTTTTACACACTGCAAAGAGTTCAATATGAACCCCTGTTTTTATGCACGGACAACAATAAGTAGATAACGTGCAACAGAAAAGCCCCCTGAATAATTCAAAACCGATGATTTGATGATGCCTCGATTTTCAGCCTGTGCACCCAAAAAGTGCTTCGGCAGGAGGGAAGATAGTGCAGAAGCCTCCTAAATAAAGTTTTCCCAATTTAAACTTTCAGAACAGTTCGATTAAAAAAGCGCCAGACACGCGTTTGCGGATGTATCCCTTTACCTTTTAAGGAAAGACAGCGAATCCCATTCACAGCAGGCCTACTCTCCAAAGCCTGAGTCGTATTTGATTCATCCTCTTAATAAGAAACTTCCTCTCTTCGGGGAGGACACGAAGCTTTCCTTAATGAATCTCGGGATGACTGATTGCTGTTTGAGAGACGAGATGAGCAAACATTTGACGTGCTATGTTAATAATCAAACAAAGTAATGGCAGAGCTTGAGGGAGGCTTTATCTGTCAGAGGCCATACATTTGCAAGGTGTTGCGTGAATCTTGTGTCCAGACAATCCGCCGGAAAAGCACCAGAGCGCTGAAATCAAAGCGAACGGGGGAGGCCAAGTGCAGGTAACAGGTAACATCTCTCTTCGGCAGTCCAGCTGGTTTTCATGATGACGGGTTGGAACAGATAGAGGACGTGAGCAGACAACGTGAAATCTGAGTAACACACTCAAGTAGGACTAAACTGCGATAAGTATCAAACAGTACACTAATGTGTGTCTCTGAACGTGCTGTTAACGGGGTAAAATACCAGTACTTGCTCTATCATATTAGCCCTCAACAGAAATTTAAACCCTCTTTTTCAAAACATGAAATTCGACCTCACCCTTCTCTCGGTTTCATTCCCCCCTCACCCCCTTTTTTTTTTAACCGGATCTGAATTTTTCAAATTGAGAACAGAATGATTTTCAACATATTGTTTCTTTAAAAAATGCATTTATTGCAAGTTTTATGCAATATTAGACGTAATTTCAAAGTAATTAACAGTAGTAAATACACCATAACATGACCCGGGACTTGAATAATTTAGCTGCCGAATTTCAGCGTTAGGCAGCTAAATTATTCAAAGTCTGCTGCTTTTTATTTGCTCACTTCTAAACGGTTCAAATAAGCTTCAGTGCATATATGGAACATTGTGGACGCAAATACATCACAATGCAATGCCAAGGAGTAAGTGTTAGGGGATTTTATAATGTGTAGTTAAAAATTATGCAATTCAAACTATTTATATTTAAGTCCACACTCGTAATTGGAAAATTATACTCATCTAAGAATTCTTTTGTAAAGAAAAGAAAAAAACAAAAAACGAACTAACCTCTTGTTGTGCTTCAGACCTCTTTTATTTTAACAAAATGAATTAATAAATATAAATAAATAGTATTAAAGGGTAACAACATAACACAGCCTAACGAAGGAAGACAGGACGAAAGCAGTGTTCAGGCTTTTTATGCGAACATTATTCGCAAAAACGCAAACTTATCCACATTAACTGGAAACTTATTTTTCAATCAAACATTCCCATTTCATCTCAACCCAGACTGAGTCTTTCACGTCTCCTCTTTTTATGGCTTTCCCCCTAGCAGTGACTTTTTTTTCTCTCTCTCGGATCAAACAGTATTGCGCCAAAGCGCAACCTTTTCATTCAGGGTGTTTATTTCTCTGTTTACGTGCGCTTTGTCTCTAGAAAATTTCCGGAAGTGTCCCTTAGTCACAGCTATCCAGCATCCCGTATTACCCCTTTGTGTG